TGGTCGCCAGAACTGTCAAAGGACAAAACTACAACCAGTTTAGTTTAAAGATCTCTTTTGGCTTTGTTGGGATCCATTTCTCAAGATTTTACAAGTACAGGGCCCGTAGGGGACATACATGAAATCAGCTGGTATAGACAAAGAGGTGCATCTTTCAATCTGGAAGCTTCATTTCCCATTATGGCCCTTTTCAAGCCAGGAAAGCTAGTGGGGTGGCTGTATGTGCTACTTACAGGTATCGTTTCTCCAGATTTCACCCTGGAGTCGGTCAGCCCTCTTATGGCTCTCAGCCTCCCTAAACTACTGAAACAGAAAGGTGCTTGCATGTGCTAGGGGGATCAGCCCTTACATTGCACCTTCTGGACAAGCAATAATTTTAACAGTGTATAGGTGTCTCTATGAGACTGCTGCACGCTGAGGATAGGAGCATCCCAGTGCCTCCCAAATTCCGGTTTCCTCCGAAAGCCATGCAGCTGGAGGGAGAAGTGTCTCTTATCTTTGGAGCAAGAGTGCTCTCATGTAGCTAGATAAAACTAAAGAGAGGTTGCCTTGCCTGAAAATGCCCAGAGTAACCAGATTAAGAGCTACCAAATTAACTCTGCCCAAGATCCCAGAAATAAGATGTACCTTGTTCATGGCGAGAACTCTCATTCTGAGAGGGTAAAAAAGACCCTCCAGAATGGAGGAAATCAGCTGCATTAAACTGGACCGTTAACCTAAATACAGTAGGTTCATGGATCAGAGAAGGGGCCAACCAATTATACACAGTGGAGTCTCTGAGCTGGTGGACCCAAGAGGTCCTTTGGCAGTAGCAACCCGAGAGTCAGGGTGTCTGCCACGTGGTTGAGGGGGACTCCTTCAGATCCTGCCAACTACAGCAGTTTATTGACTGAAATTAAGGCTGTTGAGGCAGAAATAATTTTGTAAAGTTTATTGGGATCCAAATGTGAGGATCAGCCTGGGAAACACCATACGACAGAGTCAGAGAAGTGTTCCCTCTGACCTTTACACACGCATACTCGTGTTTTGTACAGCTACAGTGCTAATGAACACATAATAGTTTTCCACTTTTTAAAACGTAATCATAAGTTTTTTTTGTATTCTGAATAGTCTTCATACTTAGTGTTTTCAGCAGTTGCATATAGCATTCTGCCAAATAGAATTTGTCATTATCCCATTACTCTATACTTAGATGGAAAACTTGGGCATTTGTGGGTTTTTTCATTTTTTAATACAATCCAGTTTAGAACTCGTGGTTGAACCGTGGATTGCTGGACTCTGGGCTGCCCTCATGAAGCATTTTAGGTCAAGAGAACAAGAGGAGATGAGTAGAGCTCTCCCGGCAGCATCTGATGCCTCCTTGAGGACAGACCCTGTGAAACCGGAGTTGTTACGCGTTGAATCACAAGTCGAGCTTCTGAGATTAGATGATTCAAGAAGAAAGGACTCTGTGGTTTTGGGACAGAATTCAGCAAACAGTGGTCATCCGAATGCTGTGACTGAAAACGCTGAGTCCTCACTTACCCATTCAGTACCCCCGCTCTCCCAAGCCTCTCTCAGTATTCCCGCTTCACCCCCAGAGTACTTACAGGTGCATCTGCAGGAGTCTCATGGCCAGGTGAGCAGTTTTATGTTATGCTTTATGCTGCGTAATGTTATTTAACCGTGGGGTTTTTTTTTTTTTTTTTTTTTTTTTTTTATATTAGAGGTCAACAAACTGGCTTGCAGATTGGTCCAGATGTGGTCCATCGCCTGTCTTTTGTAAATAAATTTTGTTCGAACGCAGTGATGCCCATTTATGGACCTCATGTCTGTGACTGCCTTTGAGTTACAGTGGCAGAGCTGAGTGGTTACCACACAGGCCTGCAAAGCCTAAGGCATTTACTGTCTGCCTCTTCCAGAAAAAATTTACCTACCCATGTATTACCAAAGGTCTGGTCTTTTACCTCTGTCTTTGGAGAAGCAAATGGTTAAGAGCTCAGTTTCTCCATTATTCTAGAGAATTAACTTCTTGGTTTCTTATTTTAGGTGTGAGACAAGTAAAAGTAAGTCGTGTGGGCAGTGAGGAAATTAGCTCAGCAACTAAACTTCGAGGACGTATTTACAGTAAAATCTCTTCCAACGTGGATTTTTGGTATTTTGAGTTGCTCCAATTTGGGGACCATTCTTTTTCTAGCTAGTGTCTTCTATCTTTTTTTAGCTAGTAGACCTATTTTTGTCTATATTGTCATATTTTTTTGGCCAACAGTATTTTCTTCTGTCAGTAAATAAATGACTTTAAAGTGGTCTGTAAATTTTTGAGTATCAAGTTAAAATAATAGCCAATTTCTCCCTACTGCTGCCATGTATGGTACCCCAAAATTTCTTCTCACATGTTTAAAATAAATTTCTAGTGCAGCCAGTCTTTTAATGCAGGGCCAAGCTCTCTTTTTTTCTTTTAGAGTTGGCGGATTTGAGTTCCACATGGACTTCCTTACCTAAACCACACTCTTAATGCAGCTATCATGATTTCTAGTTTCTTGTTCTCTTTTTAAAATGAAGACAGACTTAGACATTTGAGAAGCAATTTGAATGTGGTGTTTTTCTAGTATGTTAGAGCTGTTTGCAAACACCTAATATAATAGCAGTTTTTTTTAGCATCTAATTTTATACTGTCTTTCTAAAAAGCATTCAGATAAGTATGTTTTTATATATAAACAGCTATGGGTTATTGTTTTTGCACTTCATTATTTTGTGTATTGTTTAAGTGAGGTAATTTCAATAAGTACCTTTTATTTTTTTATTTTTTCTTCTTTTGGCTGTTGACTGGTATGAGGAACCAAACCCTTGACCTTGGTGTTGCAAGGCTCAATAAGTACATTTTAATCAGGATTGGGAACAGACACAACTGCCTATTAGTAAACATGTGCCTGGGCTGCTGGGAGCAGAGTGCACACACGTCCTAGAGAGTAGCCCCAAATCTGCAAAGGATCAGTATTTGTTGGGGGATGGAGAATACTGATCAGTCTGACAAGATGCTCAAGTTAGGAGGGGCATCTATTAAGAGATTTTCTTTTATGCAAGTATCATTAAATAGGTTTGAGTTATTAGTTGGTAATGTAGTTAAAAGATTTTTTAAAATCTGAACTATTTAAGAGAGACAAATCTGAAAGGATATACTTAGAGGGTAAGGGATTGGAAAAAAGCTTGTTTTTAGGGCATCTTCTTGGGACCATCACCCTGGGGCACAGAAGGGACGGAAGCAGGAGTGGGCATAATGGCAAGCTGAGCTGCGATGCAGTTGTAACAAGGGCCTCAATCTGTCCTACCCCATAGGGCAGCTCTCCGCTGTCTGGCAGTGTTACTTCTAATGCCAGAGGGTCTCCTGGATTGTGTGCTCCAGCAGCAGGACCTCTTAAGAATGCCACCACTTGGACCTGCTGTAGAGCCCCCTCCTGCTCTGGTCCCCACTGGCTTCCTTTTGAGTCACCAAGTATTTGGGCCGAAGCAGTTCTCCCAGGTGTGGAATGTGCTGTCCCTAGATCCTGAAGAGACCTAGCAGGTGTTCTTCTCTCTAGGGGTAGTGAGGTACAAGATGCACTAACTAGTGTGGCCTTTACCTGGAGGGAATGTCCTGACATGCATCAGACTGACATGCATCGAATTGTGCTGACGCTGCAGGCCCTTCTTTCTGCAAGGGCATGGGTCTGACCCAAGGCTCCATCATTCTGGCCCCTGCTTTCTCATGCAGTCTGATTAGCACAGTGTCACTGATGGAGTGGGCTAGTGTGATGCTTTGCAGATGTTCCACATTATTCAGACTAATACCAGCAGGCAGGACCATTTTCGTAGCACTGGGGCAAAATTGTAAATATACGTTGTTCCAAGTGAAAGTGAACTGCATCTGGTCCTCTTGAGTGATAGAGATGGCAAGGAGCACATTGACTAAATCATTGTTCACATGTACATGAGGCCATGTTAGTTTGCTCTGTCAAAGAAAACCATCTTATGTGGAGGCTACAGAGGTCTATTAATTGTTTAAGTTTCCAGTAGTTCAGTTTCATCCCCCAGGTTTTTGCAGAGGCCAAACTGGTGAATTAAATGGAGATATGACAGAGACCATCCCCTGTATCCTTTAGCCTTTTACAGATAGGACTGACTTCTGCTGTATTGTATTGTTCGTCATTTTCAATATTGGTGGTGATGAGGAGGGTGGTACCAAATTGAGAGGCTTCTTGGCCTTCCCACCATGGTAGATCCTACCCCACAGGCCAAGATTCCAGCGTGGGTTTGTGCCAGATACTCAGTGACAACTGGAGGTCCTGGGTCCAGTGGAGCCACCAAACGAGAGCCAGGCCAGGACTCCATTTCCTACCTGGTCCCATATGCCTCACTCTCATAGGTGGGCCATCATGACACTTTGGGTCCGTGGGTAACATTACCAGTTTGGACCCTCTTCTAACAGATCCTGAAATGTTCAGGCATCCCCTGAGCCCGGTGTACATTGCCCCTTTGGGAGAAGGACTGGAAGTCATCACCAAGTCATTTCCCTGGTGTTGCAGAGTCCATCCTCTGAGAGACCTGCATTCTCTACAGCCAGTGGGTCTGGAAACTGGACAAGGGACCTTGGGTTTTTGTTGGAGCAGCTGCCTGCAGCTTCCTGATCATGCCTTCTTGATTTCTTTCATTGTAGGGATTTATCCAATGCCCTAGTTGGCTGCCCACTTATTTTGACCTTATGGATGCCATCTTCTCAATCATTGCCATTAATTCTGAGGGTCAGGGTCCCTGGCTGCCCCTCCACCTTTCCCACTCGCTGTGACAGTTGTGCCCATTGACTTTGCTGGCCCAATGCTCCCATCTGCCTTCTGCCCCTTGGGGTCCTGGCTTTCTCATTGCTGTTATCCCCAGCCGGTGGGGAGGCTGGCTCCCACTTCTCATTGACACTTGTGTCCCTCTCACCAGTGCAGTCTTGATGGTCTTGGCAGTGGTGTATTCTCTCGGATATCCCATGGGACATTGTCATCTTGGTGGTTTGGGCTCTGCATGGTTGTATCCACTTACTGTGCCCTCTGAGCCTTGCACTCCCTTCTTCAGATGCTGGCCACAGCAGTCCTGCCAGTGCTGCCTCGCGGCACAGACCTCACTTCTCCCTTGCTTCTACCATCTATCAGCATGTTCACGTGATCTCTTGGGCCTCTTGCCAGGCATGAAAGCTTGTATCCTAGGAAAGTGCACCCAATTCAGATGACTCCTCTGTCTACACTCACGTCCCACCCTCCTTGGTCCAGGACCTCACTCTCTTGGCTCCTGCTGGTGCATATTGTTTTGTCTCGTACTTTCTCTGTGGTGTAGCCCCTTGCCTTCCTTCTGGCAAGCTGGCCCAGCCCTTCTGTGGCTGGGTATATTGTGACTTTACTCTAGTTACTGGCCTAGCATCTGGGAGAGGAGATGGGGTGCAGGGGTGGGGGCACAAGCTTGTCCGTGGGCAGAGGTCTCTGCACCGTATTAATGCAAGCAGGGAATTCCTTCTCTTAATGGGAAGGACTGGCCACTTCTGCAGGCTCAAAGGTTCAAGGCAATCTGGGGATTCAAGATATTCTCCCAGTCAGAGTCAGTCCTTAGCTTTCTCTGCCTGAAGGTCATGGGCTGCAGGAGATGACCCTCCTCTGGAAACGACTGAGGATGTCCTTTGGCTTGCACATTTAGTTTTTCAGTGTTGATTAATCATGTCAGTTGTTTGCATTTGTTTTCAAGTGCGAATGAAGCTTAATAGTAGTCCCAGGTCCCACTGGTCTTCTCAGTGCCATTTCCCATAGTTTTCAACACCCAATACATCGTGCTGGTGAATGCATTGGCTTCCACAGGTACACCATCCCACTGAGCAGTTGCATTGCCCCCGCCTTGTACCAGTGCTGTCTGGCTTTTAAGTCTGTCACCAGTGTGTGGTTCTCATTGTCAAGTCTGGCTGATTAGCTCAGTTGGTTAGAGCATAGCCTTATAACCCCACGGTCATGGTTTTGGATTCCCATACCATCCAGCCACCAAAAAAAAAAAATTAAGAATTCAGTTCTGTAGTCACACCAGCTCTGTTTCAAGTGCTCAGCAGCCACTTGAACAGCTGCCTGACACTAAGGGTTCTAATGACCATCTGTGCAGACATGCTCCAGCCTTAAATATCTGTCATTTCCTTTACCATCTCCTCACTGAGATATTCATGTGCATACCAGTTCCCCTTACATAGTTTGTTAGAAAGACTACTAAACCTTTATGTGAAAATGCTAGTATTTGATATTTTCTTTATATATTTCAGCAATTCCAATGTCTGATAGACAGGAGGTTGAAATATAGATGAGCTTCTCTTCTGAAAAGTGAGCTCTGTATGTCTACCCATTTTCTTTAGGAGTAAATGATAAGTAAATAGCCAGGAAGTTTTGTAAGTTCCTGCAGATCTCGGTGGTCACTAAGTGAGGGAATGGTGTAATTGATGATTGCATTTAGTTACATTTTGTCGCATTTGTTTCTCAAGATGGAAAGCCAAGCATCTGTGACTTCATCAGATCCAATTTTTCAAGTTCCAATTTCAAAGGCAGTTCAACTTACTACAAATGATGCCATAAAAACCACTCTGCTGGTAGAATTGGACATTTCAGTAAGTTGTAAAATTCGTTTCTCAGCACAGTTATATTGTCAAAATGTGCAGAGCCCGTGTGGTGCTTGGTTATGTGGGCTCAGGGAGAATGAGAGGTCTCTGGCAGGACATCTGGCCACTTTATTCTTGACCCATCATTTTTTCTCCCCACCTCATACCTGTTGTCTTTCTACTTCAGAGAAAGGCTAAGATGAGGAGAGATTGGAGGTGAGTCAGCCTGAGGGGATAGAGTTGCTGCCTTACTCATTAAGACACGAAAGAATAATAGAATCAGAACAACATTTTACATGTCAGATGAGGCCCAGAAGAGAAAGTATTAGCGTAAGGTCAGCCAGCCAGTTAGAAATTGATCTCAGACTAGACAGTTGTCTACGGGTTAATTTCTCAGAGCAGTGGTTCTGATTCCTTTGAGAATCTGGAAAATGTTTTGGACTCTCTTCTCCAATGAAATGATTCTGTAAGAACCATTTGCAAACAGTTCAGGGAGATGTGTTCTACCTCTCTGAGCTAGGGAACTGATGATAATCCTCAAACTTTAGTGCTGGGTACCTCTTCAAAGTCATTTAGCTTAGACATTTATTTTGATGACAGTCCTGACAGGTGAAGTGGGTTGTGCTTTCAGAAAAGTAAGGTCATGTCAGGGATGTCTATGTAGGTTTAGTTGGACTTCCTAACAAAAAAGAAATATGATAGGTGTCAAAACTGGATGGTTTGTGAGTAGCTCCACATTTCTTTTGAACATTTTAATAATCCTTATTGTTAAATATTTATACTATGTACAACAGAACATTTTATTTTTTATTCTACTGTTCTACATTTTTGTCATATAAAGAGGTAAGAGTTGACCAGTTGCTGAATCAAGTCTGTCTCTCTTGCAGATGAAAAATGTGAGCTTATGTCATGGTGAGAGGCCCCTTTCCAGAGCCCTAGTCTGCCTTCTGCATTGCTCTGAGGCTGTGAGGGAAATGGGCCTTGCAAATAGACTTAATTGGGGAAGAGGCTTCTTTTCCAACCTGTGTTTATTCACAACCAGTATCATGCCAGATTAACGTCTTACACTCATTAAGGAAAAAAATAAAGTATCCTCTTTTACCCCTGTTTTTGCTCAAAGGAAAAGAGTTAAGTAAGGAAAAAGAATTGAAAACCAGTGCAGATGACCTTAATTAGTTTCCTTTGGTCATGATATATGATTGAGTGTGTGCTCGTGCGTGTACGTTTTTATAAGAAGGCTTTTTATGTGCATTATTAAAAACAGTATTGTGCCTTACACTGTAGAAAATGATGAAAGTCTTGTTTCCATTCTATAAACGTGCAATGACAGAAGGTGAAACACTTGATAACTACCAAATTTCTTTTTTAAAGTAGCTGCTAATAAAAGTATGTTCATTTGGTTAGTTGGGCTTATTTGTTTTTGAAATTAGAATTATTTTCATTCTGAGTTCATGGATTAAAATGGTCATATAATGAAAGCTATCTTTGTTACCCCATAGCTGAAACTCTGTAACTCATATAGAATTTTTTTCTGTCATTTTGGCTTTCCTCTAGAAAACAGATTTTTCCTGTCAGCCTGGAGATGCCTTTAATGTGATCTGTCCTAACAGTGATTTTGAGGTACAAAGCCTACTCCAAAGACTGCAGCTCGCAGATAAAAAAGATCACTGTGTCCACTTGAAAATTAAAGCAGATGCAAAAAAGAAAGGTACAGCCCTGATGCTGTGACTTATTAAGGTTTCACTGGGCCAGTGGACTGGAGCTGGCAGCAAGAGTGCACCCCCAGGGTTCCCGTTCAACAATGTGTGCAGTGGCGGCGCACATGCCTGGGGCGCAGCCACGTGTCTGGAGCGCGGAGTGCAGTCGCCGGCTGGTGTTGCTGGTTTAACTTTCATGTTAATTGCACTGAATAAGATGATAATGGATTCTAATGCTTATTGGACACTTGAGATGAAAAGTGAAAGTAACTTTAGTCTGTGAGAAGCAGTGGCCTAGAATCCTTTTTAAAAATCCTTTTCCTGTTACGTTTTCTTTTCATAGCATATTTCTTATTGCTTATTTATTATATAAAAAAATTGCTTTTTTCATAATTAAAAGAAGTTATTTTTAAAAATATAATTATATATTAGTTATTAGCGTAGAATCTTGAACCTGAGTTTAGTTCTAAAATTCTTTTTGAGAATAATATATAATTCTAATGGAGCACTGCCATCTTTTGTCTTTTTGTTTCTTAATTTTAGATAATTTTCTCTTTTTTTGGCTTACCTTGAATTTGTAATTTTTTTTTTTTTTTTTTTTTTTTTTTTTTTAAAAT